TATATATAGAGAGAGAGAGAGTAATCTAGCTATCTTCTTGTAGCACCGGCAAAACACTGGGCAATTATTGAGGGGCTCGTATTGCAAGGATCCTACCATATTCGGGCCCGGTCTCTATCCGTTGTTTTCTGTCTCTCTCTGATGAAAGATTCAGCCCTGGCCTGAGCAGCTCAAAAAGATCTCTCACTTTGGCCAGTGCCTGCAGCATTCCAAAAGTCGTTTGGGCTTCGAAGTTCGGTCTACAAGTTCCAGGCTAAGGGCAGGCTTGAGGTGAATTACTTTGATATGAAACGTGCCTCCAGGAATCTTTTTGGCTTCAACTCACATTGACGGTATATAAAAACAGAGCTGCCGCACCCTGACGATGGCACGATCATCAGTGTTCTTTCGCAGCTGCAGGGCCAGCATGACCTGCCAGTTCAGGGGCAAACCTGTCCCCCACACGCTGGACGCCCCTAAACCCTAAACCAAGTTACCTCGGCATTGTTCCGCACGATGTCTGCAAGCTGCCGTCGGGCGCGAAGAGCCTTCTGGAGGAGACCCTAAAAAGGGATCTACAAGGGTCTCTATTTCTATTGGGAATTAAAGAAGCATATTGGTTATCTAAGCTTTCTCGGGTTGGGGTTTACAGCAGGAGCAATTTCTGGGCGATCTCGCATCTTGCTTCGGCTCAAACGTCTTTGACTACCACGGCTTTGCAGGAGCACAACTGTCCCTGAATCGAAGCGGACCCAGGGGAGGGATGACGTACCAAGGCCACCACTAGACTCACTAGACTACAGAGCTCTCGAAGTATAGTTTCTTGTTCCATCATACTTGCAATTACCTGATCTACCCTTTGGCCTTTCATCATATCCTACGTGAAGACCAGAGTCCCGAAGCCTAGCAGAGTGGTAGGTAGAGAGGCTCACGGTGACAGAAGATTGGTGCACACTTGCCGCTGTGAGAAGGCGACCACGCGAGACAAAGAAGCCCTAAGCCTAAACCATCTACATGTTGCTAAACAGCCCACGAGCGCAAACTCAACATGCCTGAAACGACACCAGGAAGGTGCCTCCACGCTGCCCTGCGGTGGAGGCGGTGGGGCGACAGCGATTTGCGGAGGCGGCGCAGGCTTCTCCCTGTCGCTTCAGCCATACTGGCCATATTGCTGACGAAAGCTTCGTATGGAGTACTAAGGAAGAGTCAAACAAATATCCACCTTTCAATCCACAGCGCCCGATGCGGTGTCGTCACAAAGTCCCCCGAATTCTGCCGGAGCCCACTCTCATTCAGCAGATTCAGCCCCTGTACGAAAGCATGAGGAATGAGATGCGAAGCAGACAAGCATATTATACTCTGCAGCGTGCACAAGATGCTGAAGCTACAAGATTGGGTAAGTCTGCAAACACCAACATTCGATGCTCCACGGCGCCCAATTTTTATGGAACATGCACTTGGTAAACTCGAGCACACGTCACAGTAATCAAGTTGTTACAGCACTAGCGCAATAGATTGATATTACACCGTGAACTCTGCAAAATGAACGCGCTTCCTTAAGACATGGCGTCATACGTCGTAACGTCTTATGTAAGTTCTAGTTATGTGTGTCCCAATGAGACATACAGCATCGCGGCGCCATGCAAAAAGCAGAACCGGCAAGCGACACTTATATCTGAGCTTCGGACATGCGTCATACAGCCTCTCGGCCGCTTTCCGGCCACACCGCTGCGGCTCGCCGGTGCGAAGCTGTAGTCCCCATCAATGCAAAGAGGCAACTGGACTTGCTCCTTTTCAGGGTTTAGGGTTTAGGGTTTTTCAGATGCAACGGCTCGAAGCGTTGGGGGTCTCTAGCTGGGCTTGGCTTTCAGGCTTGGCTGCTTGATCTTCCAGCGTGGCCTGGTCATGGCCTGCAGAAAACGCAGTTCGATGAACCAGTCCATGAGTGTATATTATATTATCTTATATTATATCATATTATATTACATTGTATTATATTATAATGTCTTGAGCCCAGGTTAAACTGCGTGGCGAACACGACGAGGCACGAGCTCCACCGCACGACAAGAACCTTCACGAAGCTGAACCAACCCCAGCATGCTGCATTCTCCCACGAGGTTGCTGACGCGTTTCACGGTCTCAGTTCCCGGAAGCAGGCACGACCTGCGAGGTGACTCTTGGAGCTAGTCCAGGTGTTTGCACCAGAAGCGGTAGTGCAGTAGCAGCAGCAATAGTGTCATGATCATGCTGAGGTTTGCGACGCTGAACGTGCTGATGTAACTCTACCTGTTTTGGCACGGTGGGTGTCATCGCGACAATGACAAATGGCTGCGCAATCGCAGCTTGGGTCGGAAGACTTACATGTGTGAAAGAAAAACAAATGTTTGGAGAGAATGCTTGTTTGCATTGCCAGCTTTCAACCATACTGTTGCGCGGTTACCTAAGTTGCAATCAGTAGCTGGTCAAGCTGGTTCGCCGCACAAGGAGTGCGCACCAACAACAGGTTTCTTCTCGAAAGTTCAACGTGGAAAAACCGGCCGTCGCAGGCTCGGACCTGAAAGGCTGAGACGAGGGCGAGGCACGCCTCCCTCGGGGCGATCGTGGGGAGCGTTGGTGTGGGCCAGGCGGCTGCCATGAACGGCCGAGGACCAGGCATCTAGCGGTCCCAAAAAGGGGCGTTCCCAGTCTAGCGCAATGGCCGCAAAAAGCCAAGCCGGGCGAGCGTTCGGAGCAACTCGAAGAGCCAAGTAGCGCGCTTCAGGGAAAGTCCTGGCTTCCAGCTGGGGGTACTCCGTCTCCATACCCAGCCATTCCACACGGAAGCCTCCTCGGGTCTTAGCCCACTTGATCGCTGCGCAATTCCTCTCCCCCCTTGGGCGCCGCGTCCCATGGACTCCAGGTCATGCGCAAAAAGCAGCGTGTCTAGCGGGAACTTGGCCCCTAGCAGGTGGTAGGTTAGCGGGAGACGGTAGGCAGCAATGCGAGTCCACCAGTAGCTGGCGCAGGATAGCCCGAAGGTGCCTACCGGATTGACATAGAGAGTCTGGCTAGCGGGGTCGCAGGGCACCGTCCCTTCAATAACCCGAGCAACACGAGCTATCAGCTCGATGTCGATGTTGATTCATAGTTGGTACAACTGTTGTGTACACTGTGCGATGCAATACATGCTGTACCCTCTTTTAGCTAGCAATGACCATTTCCATTTTCTAACCATGCACCCCCCCTAGCACCCAAATCATAACAACTTATACCTCAACCCTAACCTCACCAAAACAACCATAGGAATACCCCTAGGATGGAACCACCATAAGACCCACACCAAGACCCACATAGAAAAATCCCACCCTAAACCCCATACACCAATACCTCCAT